CGTGGTGCATCCTGGGCAACGTATATTTATACGGCAAAAAGTCTATTATTCGCCAGTGGACCTCTGACTTCAAACTACCATCACCTCACTCTATGCCATATTCGAAATCTTCCACAGTACTCACCTCACCTTTTTCCTACCTTTTCTAAGCCTCCACAGTACTCATCTTACCTTTTTCTCTACCTTCGTGTAACACAGTACTCACCTCACCTTTGTTCTACCTTTGTGTCTGTTTAAACTACCATGACCCCACTGTATGTCATATTCGACCCCTTTCACAGTACACACCTCACCTTTTTTCTACCATTGTCTCTCTACAGTATTCACCCCACCTTTGTTCTACCTTTGTGTCTGTCTCTTACATCTTTGATTTTTTCTACCTTTGTGTCTGTCTCTTACATCTTTGAAGCACTCTTCTGTGAAGCCTGAAGTCAACCAAGGGGCTAATGATAACCATCAAGACGCCTGCCATTTGATATAAATAAATATTTGTCATCATTCGCTCTTTAGTTAAAATTCGGACTTCACAGAAAGCTGAAAAGTTAGTCACAAAAAATAGAGACGAGAAACAAAAGAGTGATTCATATAGGTAATAGAGACAGACAAAATTAGATGAAAATTTAAAGTGAGAACTATGGAAATGGTCGAATATTATATACAGTCGAGACAGGGCAGCGTGAAGTCAATTGTCGGTTTATAGACTATTTTGCCTTATGCATATACATTGCACGGGGCGCGCCATGTGGAGATAAGTCTATCGCTCATCTCATTCTGCACTTATGACATTACATAACCATAATTTCGCTTATATCTCTTATTATCTGTAACTCAATATAATGGTAATGAAGTTTGAGAGATTCATGAAAAAATTAACGCTTTCATTCAGGGCTTCACAACGGAATTCAGTGTTTCACGACCAGAATTTTAGCCTTAACAATATTACATTCGAATATTCATATATTATAATTCAGCTCTATCAATATCACAACGTATTTCGCAATTCGTTAGGAATGAATACCAAGAGGTTATCGGATAATACAAAATTAAGGAGAGTTCCTCAGAACTGTTAATTTCATAACTAATCGGCGCCCGAATATTGAAACGGTATGGTAATCTAATATCATGAATGGCGATAAGTGTGCTGTTTTGTATAATCCTTTTCAGTATTCGCATATTTAAAACCTTAAGTACTTAAACAATTTTTTGAGATTTTTAAAATAAACAAAAGAAATAATTTTGGTTAAAATAGAAAAAAAGAGCATATCGTTATGGTAAAGCTACCACTGTATAAATCAGTGTCCGGCAACTATGGAATTGTCAAAAGAACAATTTTATGTAAAGTAAAGTAACTTGGGTTTAAATTTTAGCAGGTAACGATTGCTTCCTATCTTTCTTAATATTTAAGTACATATACATTTATATGAACTTATCACTCTCGTATATTTTAATTGTTTTAATCACTAGTAAGGTTATAATTCCCCCGCATTCTAAAGATCTTGATTTTGTGTCGCTTTTTCGAGAGGTTTTGTGCTCCCTTAAATTGACGCATTTTGTTCAAACCTAAATCCTGTAATTTAATTTTTTATGCTCAAGCTTATTGCGTTCCATATGTTCTTCAGTTCACATAATGGAGTTAGATTTCATTTTTAGATTAATAAATTGTTTACTATGTCAAATTTCGAAAGGCGGAGGTGTCCAAGATGTACTCATCAATACTCATCAAAGCTCAATTTTTGTAAATCATGCAATTTTAAGCTATCCGTTTCGACGACTTTGCAGCCCTCATGCTCAACGGCTACATCTACTAATGACACCATGCTAGAGTCTTCACCATCGGCAGAAAAAAGAGTTTCCTCCAGCTTATTGCAAAAAGGAGGTAAGTCTTACTCTTGGTGAACCGCGACCTGTTCTTCGTTAAAGAAATATCTCAAGTCTCTATTCTAGTTTAGGCAGAGTTGCTTGTTTCTAAGCTTTAAGCTACCCATGTAAAATTCAAAAAAATTTTATAATGGGAATAATTACATATGCATTCGTTCTAATTATGTCCACATAACAATTGTCTGTTATTGGATAGATATCGGGGTTCATAATTTCTTTTTTGAGTACTTTTTCTATAACCTTTCATGTATTATAGATGCTATTGAATGGCCCTGCCCCAATTGTACTTCCATTAATGCTGAAGAATTCAGTCAGTGTTCGACGTGTGGCGCTCCCAAACCTCAAGCTTCTTTGTGTGCTATTCCCTCCAATAATCCATATGGGTATGATCGAATGAACTTTTTATCAAGCAGTGCCATTCGAAGTCGTGAGCTAAATAAATTATGCCATATAAATTCGTCTCAAAGTGGTTTTTATGCGATTCCGAGTGTGGCTCCGTATAGTTCCGGTTTATCAAATGGGAGGCCTCAAATTTTTCAAGGTCCTATTTATTATCCAAATGCAATGCCGATTAATTTTTATGCACCGAATGGAATGCATCCAATTTTGCCCACTTATTTACCAAATGGATCCCAACCTGTTCTTCAGTTTGATCCTTTCAAATCTGCTTTGGAAAGTAGCAAAAATGCTCAATCACCACAATCAAGCATTACCACTCCTTCAACTGGATCTCTTTTGACTTGGCAAATGCATTCAGTTCTGTCAAGGGATATTCAGATTGCAATCAGAGGTTCTCTTAAGGAAGGGAATAGTACATTTTCTTGCAGATCTATTCCCCCATCCAGAAATTTTTTCATTCCCGCTGAAGTGAGATCATTTCTAAAGCCTATACAGGCGAAGTTACTATCTGGGATTTGTGATATTTCTGCTCAGAAAGGTTAGTTTATCAGTTATCAGGGTGCCATCACATTTTTAATCAATAGTTTGTGACATTCGTATTTTTTCCTCCTTTAGAATTGGAGGTGACTAGCAAGGCTATAAATTGGTGGTTAAACGATACCATGCCTACCAGTCGACTAATAGCTCTCGATAATCGAGCAAATGGTGATTGCTTGCTGGATAGTTTAATGCAAGTAAGTTTTTTGAAAGTTGCTATTTGACCAAAAGTTTACTTAAAGCGTAAAAGATAGTAATTTGCACGCTTCGATCCGATGCAATTTTCTCTCTCAGAAAGTACCCCATTTCAAACAAGATTCTCTAAGTACAATTAGTTGCGTCATCGCTCGAACTATATAAATATTTATTTAATGACTACTTTGTCATTTAGTTGTATCAAGCGGTTTACGCGAATAGGTGACCTAAGGAGGTCAGTGATTTATACAGAGGTGAAATAAGTTAATATTTATATAGTGACCTATTTCAGTAATTAAATTGGGTTAATTGCTATTAATTAACTGCTATAAATGTACCCTCCACCCTTGGGGGAAGCTGAAGTCAAAGTTTAAGGGCTAATCCTTCTTGGGGGAAGCTGAAGTCAAAGTTTAAGGGCTAATGATAAATATCACAAAGCCTGCCATTTGAAATAATAATAATATTTATATAGTGACATATTTCAGTAATTAAATTGGGTTAATAAAAAGAGGGTGATGGAAACTTAATTTCTCCGTAATATTACTCTCTGAAAGTGTGCACTGGAAAGTCCTTTCTAAATCTACCTAGGTGGTGGTGGTTTCCAGTGATATGAATAGACAACGGTTCTAGATTTAATTGCTTTATGATGCGTAGTAATTTTTCTTGAATAAATTATGCACTAGAATTTGATCTCTGGAATATTTACCCTTATTTCGCCTGAAAAGTAGTTCTAATCAGTTCATAAAATGCCTATATTTTAGTTCAAATTGAATCTATAGGCCGTAGACATTACAAATAAGAATATATTGAAACGAAGTGTACTTTTTGCTATTGATATCTTAAAATAAGTATTTCATCTCGTACGTACTTTTACAAAGGACATCAAAACTGACAAATGACCTTTTAGATAAATTGAGTAACCCGAAATTCGATCAAAGTTAGAACTTCAAAAGTTCTCAATTCAATCGGTCTTTTTATGTTATTTTATTATATTATTCCTGTTTAACAAAGCTAATGGTCACTTTTAATTCTGTCTCTAGTAATATAATAGTAATTATTATTATTAGCCACAATTACTTTTAGAAAAGTATTCAGGTGTTCCAGTGTTACCTTCATTATGATTTCTCCTGCATTACGAATTTGAGGGTCCGCTATTGGACGAGTATAGCAACAAGAAGATAAGTGAGTCAGAGAGGGGCGACCCCTTAAGGATCACGTAATGTGCTTAACTTGCCGATGAGATTTATGGGGTCATAGGTCATTTGAGTTGCTATTTCAAGATTTAATCTATGTAGCAATTCTACTAAAGCGAGTTGACCTTTCTTTATTGGTTATGAAGCTATTCTTAGGTAGTACACGAATTTTATTAGCTATTTTATATTAACACTGACCCCTCAATTTTCCATGGCAACCGCTTGTACGGATATCGTGCTCCCTTCAATCTTAGCTCTTTGGGTCAGAGTTATACTTTCATTGATGTAGTGGGTGTATTAATTCAACAAGGCTTCATATAACATAAACTATTGATCTACTGATTTTACACTAGGCCTCCTTTGGAGTTGCGGACAGTGAATCCGTCCTGCGCCAAACACTTGCTCACAGCTTTAAATCATGCAAAAACACACTATCACGACTTTGGCTTGAAAACGAAAAGCGGGAAGCCTCCGCGTTAGGGTATGAGCTAAGCGAGCGTCAGGCTCTTGACGATTGGGAGTCCACTTCGAATGCAGCTACTTCAGAATGTGAGCCAAATTCATATTTGTTTGTTGGACTCGATTGTCATCAGTGTTTTCAAGTTTTGCTTTATTCCATAGATCAACCTCTGGAACAGATACATATCTTTCTTCTCTGCCATATCTTTCGTCGGCCCATAGTGGTGTATAGCGTGGAATTCTTTATCAGTCCAGCTACCGGCACCTCACTTGAAATGTCGAAATTTCAAGGTGAGATGAGTTTGTGTGTTTGATTTTGCTTATTTATTTATTTCTCCGTGATTTACTTTGCTACTGATACAAATAGGATGGTATTAATGTTCGTGATCGACGAGTGCTACACGAGTTCTTTTAAATTTTACCTCTTGCTTAATTCATGGACAATAAGACAACTATCTTATAAATGCCAACTTAAAAGCAGAGTTGTAATTCTCTGAATAAAAGCATATTCTGTCCATGTTTAACTTCTAGAATAATATCCGCACACTTTTTCCTGTGAACTTGCTCAACAGTGAATGCAGCAGTTAAGGGGTGGGGTTGAATAGGAGCCTTGGTTGTAGTAAATTATTACCATGGCTTAAGGGTATAAGCATTATCTTGTTGCTTTGTTACTGTGGGAACAAGAGCTATGAAAAAGGGTATCTGAGAAGTGACATGAAATCATGCCATCCAGATTTTCTATTTGACGATGATGGCGAAGTGGTAAGTGATCTTTAAAAGTTAACTTGAGAATGTAAATTGCCCTGTGCGTATTGAAGTTCGGATGTAGTACGATTTAATTGATTTAATGACCCTCACCTCTAGTGACTCTATTTCATCTTGAAACTGAGGTATTATTTTACACGGAGTTTATTCTGTTTGTATATAAATTTTTCAGGAATTTATCTTCCTTTTCTTTGGGAGAAGAGCTCATGTTCAAAAGTGCCTCTTGTTGTGGGCTATACCTCCGGCCACTTCAGCGCTCTTGTTCCAATAACCCCCCCACTTTCTGAAGCCCCGTCGGTACCTTCTCAATCCTCTGTTAAGGATGATTTCATCTGTTTACCATTACACAATATCAATTACACGCCTATGCCCGTGCATTTCTCGGAGAGTATTTCCACTTCAGTAAGTTGAAAGACGATTGTTCTATTTTTTACAAGTTTAGAGCTTTTTGATTCGGTTGTTTGTTCTTCTAGGCCTCCGATTCCGGCGTTACTACTGAAGATCTGATAAGTGATTGGATGCTGACATGCAAAACACAAGATGGCCGACTGTGGGTTAAAATTTCACATTCACCACGAAATCGTTTGGCAGATGAGATTTTTAGGCTTTGGTTGAATGCATGTCTGTCAAATACTTCTACTACTGATTCTCCAACTGAAGAAACGTCATTTGAGGGAATTGATGTTCCCTACTCTGCCAATGAGGTGGAGCAAAATGAAGCTTCTCCCTCCGCGTAATAATAATCTTTTCTCTTCCTGTCTATCTTCTTTCTTATACCTATCACTCACTTCCAGTTCCCCGACGAATGCCCTTGTATAAATAAGTAGATGTACTTATACCACCAAATTCCTGCTCCCAGATCTCTTGTTGAAATGTCCATAATGATTCGTTTTGATGTTCATTTTACTGACAATCAGGCTAGCAGGAGAAATACCTCTCCCATTCCTTTTGAGATCGGTTTTCTTTCCTTATTAACCGCCCATCTTTTACCCTTTACGGCTAATTTGTACTTTTCTACCAAGGGACAGCTGCTCTTTAAACTTTTATTGCAGCATCCTTCGTTTAATTTTGTGCTTCATTTCTTCTCGGGTATTCTTTCTTTTTCATCCGTCAATACCTTCTTATTTCGATGAAGCCCTGGAATCAGCGATGTCACCGGTGTTATGTAGACAGCTGAGTTCACCAACAGTGCATCCCTCAATCCTGCTGTACTGGTGCTAACGTCTTTCATACCATGTGATATTCTTTCTTCTTCCGCCTGGGCTGGAAACATTTGCCAATCATCCTCACCTCAGAGATGATTGTTGATCAGTGACCGAATGGTCCAAAAATCTCTTGTTACCATATCCTTCTATGGTGATAAGACCCCCCCCCCTCCTCTTAGAAGGAACTTTAATTGGATTTCGATGTCTCGTGTTTTCTATCCTGATCAAACCCTTTTTCTACTTTTATACTTAGCTTATGTTTAAATGTTACACATGATACACTTAGGCGTAGTACATTCTCTATTTTTTCACCCATTCGTCTTTTTTATGAGATATTTATGAATGAATTCATTTTGGAAGTTGGTCTAACTCCAACTCCAGGCCAACTCTGGGACTAGTTGTAGGAAGTGGCAGGAAATTTCCCTTTGTTTATTGATCGCAATATTACGCGCATGCAATACTGGTTCCCCCAACCAGGTCATATATGATCGTAGGTAACCTCATATTGTAATAAGATGTCACTAAAGTTTCTGTGTCTAATGAAGTGAAACGGACAGAATTGAAAAAAATCCGGGCTTGAATGTTTAAAGCAAGAAGAGAAACCGTTACGAAAATAGTGTAAATGGGGTACAACAGAAAGCATTAACTTAGAACGAATTTCGAACTTTTTTTCCAATCAGTAAGCATGGTTGGACACTAGAAGGTCGACCTACAGCGAAATCTCACTATGACCATTAACTTTAATTGGATCTGTCGTACCTACGTATTGTTTCCATATTTCTGTCTGACCATTAATGATGTACCAAAATGTATACGTTGACACTGCTGCCAATCTTATGCGTCTCGGTCGTCTGCTCTATTAGGGAATAATTGACACTGACTATGCGAGAGAAGATAGGTTTATACCTTTTAAAGGCCAGATCACTTTCGAAACGGTATTAGTATTTGACCTCGAGAGAGTTAAATTGATTGGATGCGTGGACATTCGTGATAGTAAAACCATCAATAACTAACTCAGAGCTCATTAGCAGGAATTGCTCATTATGACCTATGCTTCAAAGGCTTTTTGTCATTCACGCATACGTATAAGACTATGTATAACGCATCGTGAATTGTTACATTACTAAGCCTTAACCATGCTAAGTAATCTCTGTGGCAGAATCTCTAATGTTTGTAAAGACTCCCAGAATTAGCTAAGTTGCCTCAAAGATACCGGGGAAACAGACGTATGAAGTTGAATATGCTTATCGGGTATTTTGTGTCACAGTATGGTGAGTAGCATAAATCGATTTCCACCTGACTGGCTATGCACTTTTCTGGGTTAATCGTGATTCCGTATTTCTGAATGTGGTCAAATGTCTGTCTCAGATGTTGTTTGTGCTCTTCAGGGTTGAAGCTTTCGATGAGCACGTCGTTAATATATGCAAAAACGAAATCGAACCCATGAAAAACTTGGTCTATAAATCACTGGAAGGATTGGGTCGGGTTGCGTAGACTGAAATTGTTAAGTAGGTATTCAAATAAGTCGAATGGTGTGATAACGGCCGTCTTAGCAATGTCTTCTGGAGCCATTGGAATCTGGTGATAGGCTCGGATGAGATCGATCTTTAAAATATAACTGTGAAGCAAAAATCATGGATAGAAGGAATGGGATAGCCATCTGGAACAGTCATTTGTTTGAGAATATGGTCTTCAATCGCCGTTTTTCTTCGCGGACATGTGTGAAGGTCGTACGATCTCTAAGAAAACCATGTGCTGGAATTCCTTTTTGGCCGCTAGTAATTTCTCTAGGTACAAGCGACGAACTCTGGCAAAGACTGGTTGTTCTTTAGTGGTTATGTAGTGGCGTACACAGTGCTTCGGTTTCAAAACCTCTGATTGAAGGCGGAAGCTGGAGGGAAATTCAAATAAGATGTTTGTGAAAGGGTTATCCACGAGGAGGACTTTCAAGCCGAAAGAATCTAAGGCCTCTGTAGAGTCGACCACTTGTAGGGATGCGGCGTTACCTTGAAGGGCGCCGTCTTTGAGAGTGACTGGCAATTTGAACTTAGAGAAAATGTCTGCAATCAGGAACACAAACTGGAACTCTCGGCGAAGTTTTAGATCCAGGATGAGGATATTTTGTCCGTAAATAGACAGTTTTTTCTGTGGATCCTCGGGAGGGGGGGGGGATAACGCTGACTTCGGACCCGGTGTCCACCAAGAACTTGAGTCAGGAATTCCTGTCGGCGATATATAGTAGGCTACTGGTGGAGTTTCCAGAATCATTAGTCGCCTTTTCTGCCTGGCGTGATATTTCTCTCGACGGGCTGTGTTGTTCGCGGCTGCGGCATCGACACCAGGGGGAACATTTCTTACCATTGTCCCCGTATGTTCGATGGTAGTAATAAATCGTGTCGCCGTTTCTTGATGGACTCCGGCGCCTTCTAGGCGAAAAAGAACGTCGCCTGTTGAGACGCTGAGAGGAGCCTGAAATAAATAATTTCAGGTCTTTGAACTGCTCCATGAGGTCGTCTAGTCGGTGTGTGACGATATCAACGGTGGCTGAAATTATTACTGCGTTTACGATTGGCCTACTGCGACGTCGATAGATGCGAAAAGCCACTTCAGCCAATTAATGGAGATCATCTTGATTAAGGCTGGTCATTAGCTTTGTGGCCAAGTTTTCTGAAAGTCGATTCAGTCATAGTTCACTAAGGATTCCGTTTGGCAATTCGCTGTCGCAGCCAGAGATCGAATGAGTCGTAGGAGTTGGAATGGTGATCTATCGCCAAGTTCGACTTCCGTGAGCAAGTCTTCTAGCCGTTAATCAGGAGAAACAGAAAGGTGGTCGATGATTGCCTGTTTGAGCCGGCCATATGAGCTGTTATCAAGCGTTTTAGTCACCATATCCCGGAATTATTTATGGAAGTTACTCGGCAAAGCTACCACGACATGAACAAACCGTTTTGCGATGGCCTTTATTTTGAGCATATTCTCGAATTGAACGAACCAGATTTCTGCGCTTTCTTTGTCGAAGGTAGGAAAACCCGAAATGACATTAAATAAGTCAGAATCTGCTTCTTTGAACATAGTGTGTGACGGTGGCTAGCAGAAGGAGAATAGGAGTCAGCGGGATGTTAGATTTTGAGCGTCGATAAGGTGATCGTTCGAGTAGGAACACCGAAAGCATTGATCGATGTGAAGGACAATCGCGATGCCAGTGAGAGAGGTTGAAGCTAGGCTCTGCAGGCCACCAAAAAATAAATTTCAAATCATGGAAATTACCGGATTCAACGTAATATCAAAACTTACTAATTATTAAACAGCCATTTCAGTTTGAAATTTCATTGATGATTAATAGTCAGTTTCAATCACTTGACTAGGCATCGAAATTGATGAAGTATTTAATATGTATGCTTAATCTAATAATTTTCTTGAACGAATACTCAGCTAACTTTAGGGTTATATTGTGTAATCTTCCATTCAGAAGGGTACAGTGAATGAAAGCTCTTTTTAACGAGATTTGTAATATTAAATGTAATTGATTCAATATAACTTTCATAAACAACACTCAAATATAACATAATTTAATTTTCATTTTTAGATTTACTTGATTAGAGATTTTAATTTAGACGAAATTGTACAATATTTACAATATACTTGTATATTTAAATCCATACTATATACGAATCAGCCTATGGAAGCTATCCGCTTTGAAGGTCAGGGAGGGCGTACAGCAATCGTGCTTCCATTGACAGTTCTTAAATATGTCGTACATGTTAACGCATTTGACGAACGGTTGGCAAGTAGATCAAGCCATCTTATCTGAGGATGACAGACTTGTTGTAATAAGATTTGGACATGACTGGGATCCCACGTGCATGGTTATGGATGAAACTCTATTTCAAATTGCTGAGTTGGTAAAAAATTATGCTGTAGTGTACTTGGTGGATATTGCACAAGTTCCTGATTTTACAAAGATGTATGAATTGTACGATCCATGTACCACGATGTTTTTCTATCGGAATAAACACATCATGGTGGACCTTGGAACCGGAAACAATAACAAAGTTAATTGGGCCATTGATAACAAACAGGAGCTTCTTGATTTAATTGAAAGTATCTACAGAGGTGCACGCAAGGGTCGTGGTCTGGTTGTTTCACCGAAAGATTACTCCACTAAATATCGTTATTAATTTTCTGCTGTAACAATCTTCTGCCCTTTTAACGTCTTCATAAAGTGTTTCACTCCCTTTGTTTTGTTCTACACCAGCAATGGAGTGATAATTGAATGTAGGTACTCCTACGGTTTTTTTGTATTATGTTGGAATGCGCTGGCGCTTTTTGAACCCTGACTTAGAGTGTAAGGTAAGTTTGCTATTTTTCCTTTCGGAAAATACTTTATTCAGCTCACCTATTTGTCTCAAGACTTGGACTTAAAATTTTTTATTAATTCTCTTATCTTCCTTGACTCCCGGTTCTTTGTTCTAGTATATTCGTTAATAAAACGCTTGGACGTAACATTGCGTCTTTCTCTGTCTTAGTTTGTCTTAGTACAAACCTCAAAAGTAAGGCTAATTTAGCTGTGCAAGCAAATTATAGCTAATAGCTCTCAAGTAGAATCGTTAGCCTTCCTTGCAGCCCTTCCAAAACGCGAAAACCAAGATGTCCAAAAAATGAATGAGAGGAAAGTGGAACTAGAAGGGAGGTATTAATGGGGGGAGGGGACTTCAGGTCTTTGAACTGAGTGAAGTCACACTGTAGTATAATGCGGGTGTTTATCAATTTTGTGTTCGTTATTAGTGAGATGTGGTCTTCTAACGAGTGGTTAGCAATAATATGTGCTTTTGCTAGAAGCCTACAAGATTCATATATCAAAAGCTAGCATTTTGGATTGGAGGACTTGTTTCTTTTAGGAATACGATAAGTTAAATGGCTTAAAGAATTTATTTTTGCCTTTCGTCACACTGATCAAGTATCGCAGTAGTGATTAAGATATATTGGCTACGAGAGCACGGCAACTTTTGAAAATTGCTTCCTTGAAATGCGGTGCAATTGTAATCGATCTCCTCCCTTCCACCCAAAGGAAAATTGGGGTCCAAAATTAGCATTTCTGCTTTCCGTTTGAGCTCAGTCCTTTGATATTGGACCATACGCCCCCTTCCACTCTATTATCCTCTTTTAATTAATATGGAAAATCGTGCCATCTAGCCTGCTTATTTTAGGTTTTTTGAGTAGCTTCTCGACTCTCTCCTAAGAGTGAAGTTCGAATAGCCATAAGACGAAGTGAGTGTAATTGAATTCTTTATGGAGTCTCGAAAATATTTCCTTTCACGGGAAAGTGCATTTTTACAACATTTACTATTATTGTGCTACCTGACATGCAATCACGTTCATCTGAGAAAAATGAATTATTGACGGGATTAGCACCAATAAATAGAAATAGTATCTTGTTAAAGGGCAAAATTTTACACACTCACTGGATTGCTATGGGTCAGAAAAAATTTCATTGCTCTTTTGCTCTAAACAGTTCTGATTACGTTTTCGAAATATCAGTCGAAAATAAGACTTAGTAGAGTTCTTTTGTCTTGCAAGAAATACACCCCCCTCCAAATGTGTAGCATAAGCTTTATTTCCCTCTTTTGATTAGGATGCGGGCTGGTTTTAAATCACGCTGCTAAACTCTAAATTTCTACCTTGGATAAGTTATCCATTCTTCTTTTTCGGCAGGCCTTAAATCCCTTCAAGGTTTAGGTAAGCAAGTTGCACATTATGATTTGATTTTTTCCAATGACACTCAACCCGCATCTAATAAGACTCACGGCTCTTATAACAATCGATGACATTTTGAATCACAAATTAACTAATTCATTTTCGTTGCCATTGCATTAAGCCCGATGGTCGAAAGGAAATTAGTTGAAGTAAGTAAGCTTTCGAAATCACTCATCCACGAGCACCCTTTTGTGTAATTCATTCACTAACTGCTAAACAAACTGTTAAATAATGCTGACACCACAAGCTCCAAATGGAAAGTGCTTACTTCCACCTTGAATACCTAAGGAAATTTTGACGTCCTCAAACCATGGAAAAATAGATTTTCCTTTATCCCCAATCTAAATCATTTCGCTTAAATCAGCTCTTAAAAAAGACTAATCGCTATAATACTGAAGAATTGCGGCTCTTTTTGTCGACGTAAGTAGTGAGATAGAAAATACTTGGGTTACTATCGAATGATTGCGTTACCAGATTAATTTAAGCTGATATTCCTGTAAATTTTTAACTCCATGGTTAAAAAATAGATGGAGGAAAATCAAGACGAATAACCCGAGGTTAACTGTTTTATATCACTTAAGAAAGGCTTAAACAATAGACTGCTTACTCGTAATATATGCGATTTTTTTCAATTTTATAAAAGAACGTATTTATAAGGACATATGTATGCCAAGACATAAACTACAATTTAGTTCAATACGAATTAAGTTTCAATTGGATTATTCATGGAAGATCTTCATTAAAACCGCAAAATAATTTTATCTCATTAGTCATGCAAATTTCTTTTCAAATTATTCATAATTTTTACCTTATATTTCAAGATCTTTGATATGATTCTTTATACCATTTAACAACCTTGTAACATTTTGTATTCCTCAGGTGCATTTCAGTCACGTTTTTGTACTCTAATTCAGACCAACCTAGTAAATGTTTGCAATGGCTGAGTACACATCTATTTAATTCATATAATAATTAGCTTTACTATATTCCTTGTGTATTCGAATTTGTTATGTTTCTTCTTATTACTTAACACGTCTTACTTACCGATTTAACCACATTAATCATTTTTTACTTCATTGATTAGTAATAATGGGCGGTGAAAATTTAATGCGTTTGAGGAACGAACTGGAAACATTCCTACTGCGCGAGCTCTACCACTCCTGTGCTGATAATTGGTATTTTATTTTCTCCAATCTCATCAATAACCTTTTAGCTGTTGCATAGAAAACCTAAACAATCTCATTACCCATGGACTTTCATTATGTAGAAATGACGATAATAGATTGCAATTTCTCTCAAAAATTTACAAATCAGGCAGTCGTAAGTCTTTTTGTAAATCTATTATACCTCCAGCTGGTGCCCTTGTTGATGAATTTACCACCAAGGAGAATCTAACTGTCCTTATTGAGTTGCTTAAAGCTTTCTCAAGGTGTGGCTTCTGTTTTTTATTTTATGTCTTTAGCAATCAAAAGTTTAATGATTCCCAAATTGCTTTATGTCTACAGGCAATAAGTTCATTAATATCTAATGCCAATAAATTAAAGCGAAACAATTACTCTTCCATTTTGTATGAACTCGTGGAATTTCAAGATTTAATTTTTGAACGTAATTTACATTTTTTGGATTAATTTTATGTCTTCTTTTAGATGAAATTTCTTTTAACTGTTTGCTGGCCAATAGTGTTCTGTTGGCACAATGTATATGCTACCTAGAAACTGGATCTGTGGCTCAAAAGGTTTTATCATTATCTTAGATTATCCATTTTCTTCAGATTTTTACAACTAGTTCAGACAATTCCGATCCTTACACGAAGCTTTTTCATAAATATTTACATCATCTTAGTTATCCTTCACGAAGATCGTCGGTTATTTTTGGTCTGTTATCAGTGTTATCAAATGAAGATTTTATCCTCATGGCATATCGTTTATTAGACGAAATTTCTATTCAAAATAGGTAAGTTTTAAGCATTGTGAGAGTTTATATTGTTCCTCTTTCAGAAGTGAGGATCCATTCGTTGCTCTACTTGTAAGCTTCTCTTTTCGTCAGTGGACAAACCGTATATCGTAAGATACTTCTCATGCTTTCACTGTTTCCTTCCCTTATAGCAAATGCCAAAATAAAGCCCTTATAGAGGAACTTTTTGAACATAATAAATTGGTGCCCATCTTCGAGTTCATCTACCACAAACAAGGAGACCCGATCGATGTAAATTTTTTTCCTTAACTCTTAGCTGCTCTTTGTTTTATTACCTTTAGGCGCTTAAGGAAGCTGTTATGAATACATATGAACTGTTACTCAGCCTGTATCACAGATACGCAATCGATGACGGTGAATCGATTTATCAGTCAATCGTCTTTCACCATCTGCTAAGCCGAATTGTTAGCCAACCCATCTGGATGCGAAACACTCTTCTGCTGATCCAGAAATTCTTCTCAACTGCATTCAGGGAGGTTAAGGACATGACAAGCTCGAGGGCTATTGAATGGTTACTCTCTGTTGGATTTCCTCTAACCGCGCCACCTCCAGTTGATACATCAAACATCCAGAGCTCTGAAATGCAGACATTTTTTCTCGCCTGTACACTTATTGGCGCTGCTGGGGATGTTGCTCTTGCTCAGTCTGTAAGCTACTGTGACTTGCCATCTTTATTAGTATTGTCTTTGCCAAAGCAAAGTAATTACCAATTTTAACATTTTAAAATGAATTTTAGAAGCCTAAATCTTATTTGTTATCCTCTGTGAAAGTTCTTATTCAAGTACTTCTGAGTATCTCTATCCATAATGAATTTTGGAGGTCACTTTTTTTGCTCCTTTAATCTTCCATTGCTAATTTTACTAAGTTCGTTAAAACGAGTATACGGAAGGTATCCTTGAATCATTCTTATTGAAAACGGACGTCCTGTCACTCATTCCGAATTAACCGATGCGATTGATCATTCACATAACGTCACATCTATCGATGAACGTCGATCTTGTGACCTTTGTTCTGGCAGGTATACACACATTAATCAATGGTCTAGTGACACCATAGATCACGGATAAGAAGATCTGAGCATCTTTTCGCTGTTATGTTTTTATGATAAAGAAAAGGATTTAATTAGAAAATGTCCTACTACATTTTTTTTGTTTCTCTAGGCAGGCGAACTCTATGCTCTCTTTGCTAATCATTTTTCCCCAGTTGAAAATGATGGCCTAAACGCATGGTGCTTTGCTCTTGTATCGCTGACCAATCAAATTCAAGGAGTCTCTCGCGTAAATTTACCTTTCATTTTGTTGTCTAATCGTTAGTTTTTTTTCTATTGAAATACTGTCTTTTTTCGTTCGTAGGCCTTCCTGGATAAAGTGTTCAATCTGTCTCCCTTGGTCCCTTCCATGCTAATTGAAACATTTTCATTATGTAAGTTTTATTTGAATTTGATGGAATAATGTAGCGATTTTGAGGTGGAGAGAATAGTTGTTTTTGCAATACACTTATTGCTCTTGGTAACCCTCATTTGTCGGCTTCTGCTTTGATGGACATCATAAGTTTTATTTGCCATGACACCGCCAAAAACGTATGAGCATAAAAACCATGTGAGGAATTTCGAGGTAAGCAGATTATGTTATTGAGGCATCTTGGAGTTTGCTTTAATTACTCTGAATTCTTAGCGTTATCGTGGGGGCTGTGGTTCTATAACTGTTATCCTACCATAACAATTTACTGCATTGGTTCACAATTTCTTGGGATGGGTCATGTTCTCTGTATGTATTGGCATTTGACCCGTTAATAGAGTTTAATGTTTGGTCGTTCCACCTTGAGTTATTCGTATTTTCAAAGCCAAGGGTGTGAAGATGAGATTAGCAGGTAAGTTTTAAGCGGTATTTGGATCGTATCTTGGACTTTTATTTACTTTTGACAAAGAGATGTAGGCATCATGTCATCCATGCTAGGTTGGACAAAAAGTATTTTTTAAATAGTAATTCAAGGCGATAGATATTTGTCTCTCACAAGTTTTATTAATAAATTTGTTAACTCATGTCTAATTCTTTTGTCAATTTCTGCAGGCTTCACCGAATGTGGTTTGCCCACTCTTCTTCATGCTTATCGATATCGACTTACTAAAAAGGGTCTCAAACGATCTCCCATCGTTCTTCCCAATCTTGCACTCATATCCCGTGCCTTTCGAAGTCAGGATTATCAGCTCAACCAACAATCTGTCGCTGTAATTGAACTTCTTCTTTGTCAAGCCAATCCCAATAGTTACGGTGAACTTATCAATCTCTTTATTGAAGTTGTCGATATCGGTGTCTGTTGGTTTGACCAGGGTGCCCGGAGTCGAATGTCCGTCATGATCACCAGGGTAGGCCCGAATAGTCCATTAATTGCTCATTTCATTTCTAGGTGATGGAGAACTTCCTATCATTACTTGGTCAAGAAAAAGACTTGGTGAAACGAGGGGAACTTATTCGCAAATTGAATGAAATATTCGGTCGTATTGCTTCAGCTATATTATCTCACCTTCATACTGGCGGCGTTCCAACACGTACAACAAACGCTCTGGCCTTCCTCGTTGCGTTTATTGATGTTTTACGACGCAGTGGTGTTGAAAAAGGTGTGTATATCCTCTAATCGAATTTCATTACTCCACAATCGCGTGATGCGTATTCATTTGGCGCAATTGAATGAAAATCCAATACTTTTTATTAACCCTTTAACGCCCGAATTATTTTTTGAAAATGCACCCAGCTGCACTCACATGTGTCTACAGCAATCTGATACCAACGTGATGAGTTTTGGCTGTATCAAACGAAAGCTATAGAGGTATTGAACGTGTTTTAAACAGCAATATCGCCTTCTGTTACGAGTCTAGCACCAGTGAAGCTTATTTTGAAAGAGGACCGTATGGTAACGTAAAGATTATAAGGTAATATGCATAAATAAAGAGAAGGACTTCGAAGTCGATCGGAATACAAGTTATATTCAGGGGCAAAGGGGATGTTTCTATTAATCTGTAGAAAGTACCTGCATCTAGAGGTTCATTTATGGCCTTGCAGTTATTATAATTGCAATCAATTTGATTATATTTCATATTTATTTGTGAATATTATTACTCACTGCTTCAGGTCTACCGGAACCGCTTAAACTCCTCACTGACACTGTAAAGCTTACCTTCATGCTTGATGGTAGTGACGACTGCTTTGAAGTTCTTCTAACTTCTCTCTTCTCTGGGCTTTGGAGCGGTTTCTCCGAGGACAGGGAGAATGCTCATAAACTCATCCAATGGCTAGATCTACTGAAGTATATGGTGAATAATGCATTTATTTGATTTATGATGTGAAACGTTGTGGAGTCGGTCATGCATACTCAGTGTTATATTTTAGTCAGACATGCTAGTACTTTTGATAATTATTTCTCGAACGTAGGCGAAATTCTGTGCTTAAATTATAAAACGAGGGCATATAACTCTCTGCTTTTCACTTTCTTTTCACCAGAAGTCATTGAAAGTTAGGAATTGGCTTACTCAGATGAGCAGCCTTTTTTCTATCCGTGCGTAAACCCACTTATCGATTCATTTAGAGTAATAATTAGCACAAACGAATTAGTCGTGATCCGCGAATGGGGTTTAACTTGGGACGCATTTAGGACTTGGACTCCTGGTAGCTTCAATATTTCAGTGTTCTAGTTCTGTTGTTAGCTTTCCTTTGAACTGCAGTAGAATTTGCATCTTTGTTGACGGGCTCAGCGCCTACCCTTAAACCTCCAATGAGTGAGATATTCGCCACACCAGTTCCTTCTACTGGGTCCCCTATGAATGCAGAAAGGTAAGTTAATATATAATATCTTTAAATACAGAATACACTTTAAGTTCACAACGATAATTGAAAGTGCGCAACGTGACCTCCAATAAACAAATCAGCACGTCTCAACATGTTTTTTGGGGATATTGCCGATTGACTTGGTACGGTTTCCGTAATCGTATTGCGATTGTTCATTTTTAACTCTACTTGCATGCAGATTATTGCAGTGCACAGTACTTGTTAAATTAATAACCCCTGGTAGACAGATCCAACAACATGGAATGCCATAAACCGGAGGAAATTGTACATACTTCTTCGAAAGCTTCATGGACGTATGCCATTTACCTTAACTTTACAAAGAGTTTAGATTACAACGAAATTGTAACTAATACAAGCTTTGTTCAATTGAAAATGGCAGTATATGGGACCATTTACAACCGTCATTAATAAGTGACAGCGAAATACTGAGCTACACACACTTAACGGCCTCTGAACATTACACATGACGCTGTGCAATCTCTCGAAATCAATTTCAGTTTGATGTAGTACACTTTACCTCTTATTTTAGCACAGTGCTATAAAGAAAAATCGTGAAAAGGTTTTCTTTTTAAATGTAAATAACCTAAACGATTGTTGTCAATTTGTAACTATGTCTTGGCCCTCTAATGGAAAGTAAACTTTGTTTGTTCTTCTGGTAGAAGTCGGACTGTCTTTTAAGAATTTGGCGATTATCTTTAACTGAAGTGGCATCAAGTCCCAGACCCGATATAAACGTGGTTGGAGGTCATCTAGTCCGTTCTCTCCTGACGGCTCCATCTCCGTCGAACTCCATATCTCCGACTTTAGCTATAGACCGACTCCTTGGTGTGTCTGAGCCTCGTTTTCGAGCTGTGGCCACTGCTCACTTTCTTTTGGACACTCTTGATGCTCAACTCAGAGTTGCTGAAGCCGGAAAGGGAGGTTTATTAGTCGTTTCAGTTACTGGACCATTCTATCCTCTTCTTAATATTTTGCGGACCCTCCTTCATGATCCAGAATGTTGCTTGTCTTCTGAGTAAGCTGCCCCCATTGGAATTTATGCATTTGTAAATCTTTAACTAAAGTCAAACAAAAGGCCGAAGGTTAATTGAGCCCCATATAAGTAGGATCACTAGGTGGGTGTTAATCATGACTAAGGCTTTATCTTGACTTCTTCAAACCTCCCCCCCCCAAAGATTGTGATAGAAGGAAGAATGACTAGAGTCGGCACTAACTTTGACGATATGCAGGCGTTTGTGCGGAAGAAGCACGTAAGTCAAACTATCGAATGAAAACAAACCATCATCATTTGTGCTTACTCGGTGTATGCGCTACTTGAAAGAATTGAGACAGCCCAAAATCGGCGATTTAACAAAGAAAGCAATAAGGCTACTAGGTACTTAAAATCGCTAAAAAATGAGACTAAGTCAAATTATGATAAAAAGGGCAAAGTTCCGAGAATTTGTTTGTAATACCACCGTACTTTCTTTTATTCCAGGTGGTTCTTTAAAAACCCTTCTTTGGACTTTCTGCCGAATACGTCAATATTCGAGAGGATAGTGGCGATTGCGTCTCGTGTTGCTCGAATATGCTCTTTTGTGATTTTTCATTCCTCCCCCGAGGGAATACTCTTGATGGTCGATGAAGATGGTGAACGCACAAAGGTACATCGAATAATAATAATGGCAAGTCTTCAATGTTATATACGCCTATTGTAGGCTTAGTTAGAATTACCGAATCGGTAAAAAGTGGAGTTCATAACAGCAAAGAAGTCAGTCATTGTCTGAACTTAACTATGATACATAATGCGAGAAAAAAACATTTTTTTTGGGGAATAGGCGAATGGACCTGAACGTGGGCCTACGAAGGAATAAAAAGAGTGAGATGTTAAATTTGTTCTTTCGACAAGAGAATGGCGAACGATAGGATGCATAATAACATTAATTGATTTATTTCTTTTTGTCATTCGAATTCAAATCGGATTACCATGTTCAACTTTCCTTGAGCGAATCGCACCGAAACTGGGCTCTGTGCCTTGACATTAGGAGAGGCGTAGTTTACATTAAAAATCTGATTTCTGCCTTATTTCATGACTTTCTTTTCAAGATTATTCCAAGTGGCGCTGGCGAAGAGGATCAATGGCAAAAATTGGAGGACTTTGCAGACCTTCTAGGGACTTCAAGAGAATGCTCGCAAACCGATACTGAGAACGAGGCAGTGAAAGCTCTTCGAAGAGTAGTTGAACGGCCAGAACATTTGGTGGTGAATTGCTGGCGTTCGATTCGAGAGGTTGCACTTCTCTTGGGGGGTAACCTTACTCGAGAGGCTCTTTTGACTAATCCAGAAAACCCTACAATTACTATTGAGCAGGTGAACCTTCTTTAATTTTTATTTTATACTTACGTCGAAAATAGTGGCATAGGCATGCGTTGAATGTCTTTAACTTTTTGATTGATCATTGCCTATCCTCATCTTAGCTAACTGGTTTACGTTGTGTCGCTAATGTGAAATTTATACGCTAATACTGGTACCCGCATAACTTGCCATATTATCTCTTTCTCTCTTTCCTAATTTGATTTGGATGGGCCAACAGATGAGAGTTTTATTTCAAATAGCAGGCTTTATGTGAGTTATCATTGGCCCTTTAGTTGACTTCGGACTTCACGGAGGGGAGGAGGAACATCAAGGTCACAACAAGTCGAGGGTGGTTCACAGATGTAAAAGCGACAGACGCAAAAGGCAGAGAAAATGGTAAGGTAAGTACTCCGGGATTGGTGGAACATGACATGCTGTGGGGTCATGATACCGTATGAGTATACGTTGCCTAGTGTGCACCCCGTGGAGGCACCGCATAGATGAGAGTAGATCAATGTAACGTAATGAAGAATTAAAAGCATTGGTTACGATGAGATATCACCTATATTTACATTTATTTTTCAGTCGATTTTCAGTCTTCTGACGTCAACATTCCTAGGTGTATTCCAAACTATATCTGAGCTTTAATGGATAATTTACGTGAAATCCTTGAAAGCAATGAGAGATTGGTTGAAACTAAAATAAAAGCAACAGTTATAAGAAAGCATTCTTCAGATGTGTGCCACTTTTCTTGGCCGTTGAATTTCGACTTCCCACTGTTCTATATTTATTTATTTCTTATCAAATGGCAGGCATTTTGATAGTTTCATTAGTCCTTTAGATGACTTCAGGCTTCACAGAGAGGAAGGTACATCAAATTGAAAAAAGTCGAGAGGGGGGGGG